ATTCTCAAACCAACAGTAACTTATTAATATTCGTCTACTTTTTTTTCATTTTTCTTGTTTTTTTCAACTTCATTTGTTATTTGTATTTAAAATGACTTTTTAATTACAAAATTAAAAATAGCCAAGAAATTTTGAAACAGAATACAGAAAATATTATACGTTGATCTGAACTCTCCAGTACTTATATTCGCAGTTGAATGCAAACCGGGTCTGAAAATAAATCACATATGGACCTGGACCCAGGCTCGGACCCGGGTTATATCAAATTTCTAGACCCGGACCCGCTACTCTCTAATGTCATTGTCCTTTTAATTTTTACTTCTCATTTCTCTTAACAACCATCAGAGTCATTTCCACTAACTACAGATTGTTTTTTTTTCTAGTTGCTTTTCTTTACCCGAACAGATGTTAATGTTTGATCACGTGTTTGTTGAGCAATCGGTGCTGATGATTCTTGTTCATTTTCATCAACTTCATCATCACTAATAATACGATGAACTGTAGATTTTAATTTCGTTGTTTGTTTTGAATTAAGTCGTTTTGGTTTCTTTTTAGGTTTTGTTTTTCTTGATAACGAACGAGATGAAGGTACAGAACGTTTTTGAGAAGTATCGGATGATGATGGAACAATACTGGAACGGGTCGACACTTTTGAATTCTAAAGTTTACTTTTGAATATACAGAAAAAAAACTAAATATGTATATTTATTTACAATATTAGCTGTAGTTGATGAAATTTCAGCATTTGATATACGTTTATTATTTCCTAAAGATCGGGCTGGTGGTGAAACTACTCGTGATGATGTACGATTTTCACTATTGGTTGCTTGTGATTGTTGTTTCAATTCTCCTTCAGGTATTATTTCAAGTTTTTCATTAGTTAAACATCTGAAAAAACGATTTTTTTTCAAATAAAGTTATAATTGAATTCGATTATATCGACAAGATACATACGTATTATTAAGAACATCAGTATTATTGGAACATTGCCATGATTCAAGTTGAATTTGTGTTAAAGGTTTAGCATTAGCATTGTACGGTAGACGGCGCCATTTTAAACATTTATCACATTGAAGAAGCATAGGAATAGCTACTTGACGACGTTTGACTACTTCAAGATCATTTGATGGTGGTCGATCAAGTTGATCATCTCGATAACCTTTAATATAAAACAAAAATATAATAAATAATGAAGTGAACCATAAATAGTTGGATAGTTTTATTTTCTTTTTTATCAAAGATCCAAAATACAATTGCAAGAGTCTATTCTAAGCTCATCCCATAGAGAACTTTTCCTACGCAAAGCTATTGACTTGATTTTTCATGAAAGTTTTTCTTCAGTAGAGAATTGCGTCTTCTTTGTTTCTAAAATCTTTTCAAGGCTTCGATTGGTGTCATTGAAAAGCAAAAACCATGCTACTAACATTTTCCAGTATATTTCTTTTTGCATTAACTTTCGAAATTCGTGTTTTCAAAAGTCAAACGTGCGCTATGAGAGGTTCATTATTATACTGTCGAACACAAAATTGAAACGGAACAACAACAACCTTTAGAGTGTTTTTAATCATTTTTGTGCTGTTTGATTGTCACTATTAGATAGTTTAACAGCTTTCTGTCTTGCCTATTTTTTTTACCGGCAAGAAAAACTTCTTTGAAAAACCAAGTTGACAGTTTTATCAAGTGAAAAATTCTCTAGCAAATGAGCTTACGAAGGAACTACATCAAGTAACATCCATCATCTAAGCTCACATTGGACTCACAAGTAGATCGCAGTGAGAACAACAAAAACCTAAAAGAGACCGTCCGCATTGGCCTTTGGCGCCGAGCTATGACCAAATTTATTAGACTTTTGACCCATTTTTAGGTGCTTCCTGTACGATCGAATAACGGAATTCTCATCCAAAATGAATATGTTGTAAGTTTTAGGATATTCTAAGAGTCATTATACTTACTTATAGACAAAATTTTAGACCAAGAGTCTATTATTTGATTTCTTGGGAACTATCTACCAACGAATCGAAAATCTAGTACTACAATCCATAACTCTGCGACAAGGGCCCATGGGAACGAATCCTTTTACACTTTTGCTAGTCTTACTGAGATGTACTTATAGATCCAATATAAACTCAAACAATGGGTGTTACTTGAGATACTTTTCTTGTTATAATGAACTTTTAAAAGTGTGTTTTGAATTTATCATAAAAATGAAAATTCATTTGTAATTCAAATAAATAAACAAATTATTTTACCATAAGTTTTCCAAAATTCATTAATATAATGTTCAATTCCTGTGTCAGCCCAATATTGTCGCATATATTCCCCCATATTTTTAAGTAAAAAATGATATTCTTTTTCATCAGCAAATGATTGTTTATTATGTGTAGGTTCAAGTACTATTGATGGAACATCAACAATGCCAATAACACCACGACAAAATCTATTGATTAAATAATATAAATTATTAGATTAATTTAAATTTTTGTTTTTTGAATTATATTGAACATAATTTAATTTTCTTCAATAAAAAATAATACTTACAAGGTTTTTTTATTTGGTTGTCCAATTTTTTCATACATTTTAATAAGTCGTCCACAATTATAAACAAAAACTCCGTCAGCTATTCGATTTTGAATATTTAATCCAAAAATAAATGTTAAAGTTTTTATTGTATTCATTTCCAGACGTTTTTTTACAAGACCATTACGTAATCGATTAGCAATATCTTTCAATTCAGCTGCATTGATTTGCAATTTTCTTAATCGTATTCGTTCATCAATTGACGTTGTAATTCCAAGATGTTGTTGAATATGATAAACTTGTGAATCAGCTTCACGTATACGTTCTTCTAATGATAAAAGTTCCTTTTCACATTTTTTTATTTCTTGTTCAAAACGTGTTTTAAAACGTGTAGATTTAAATTGATATTGTCGAGGTTTATATAATGTATATGATAATTTTTTTGTTATAACACGTCTCCCTTGTATTGTTATACGCATACGTGGTTCATAATAAATAATTGAAACATATGCACGAAGTGAACGATATTCTGGAAGAATACTAAAACAAAACAGAAATTTTTTTTTGTAGGACTCATATTATGTGTTATTCCAAGAAAAATATTATACCATTAAGTTTTAAGACAAGACTTTTGTGACACTTTTCATAGCAATGAAATAGGAAAGAGAGAGAGCGATTACTGAGCATATATCCGTAGAAACTGAGGACAATAGACATTAGATTCCTTGTTCAGAGTTCCTTACCAATGGAAAAAGGTTCATTAACAACAAGACTTAGACTATTCTAGAAGATTAGAAAGCCTTTCTCAGAATATCAATGGCTGCAATACATTTGTGATTGTTCTAAATAGTGCAGTTTTTGATTTTTGTGTAGATATAAAATTTATATTTAAAATGTCAAGGATGATGAGTAATAATTATAGATTTACGGAAACAAGCTTTTTTGATTCCGGTAACTTTTGTTTTAGTGATCTCAGTCCTAGTTCTAGTTCCAGTCTAGAGAAAACTATTTCAATATTTGTTTGTATTACATCTAAAAAATTCTTCAATAATCGTTTTTGATTTATTTAGTCTACAACTATCACTTTTGTGAGTCATCTCTCTTGGATTATGTTCTGCTTGATGATGTATAAGATAATTCGCTTAAAACCATTGAATATTTAACCAAAATCTTTAGTTCCGGTTGAAACAACTTTTTCCTAATAGCCTCGGTACCGGTTTTGCCATTTTCTCATTCCTCTAGTTCCGAAATCGATAAACTTCCAAACTTTGATTCTATACATCTTCAGTAATGATATATTGATTTACTACAATCGTCATACGATCAACAGAAAAAACGTGAATTAATCAAGTTAAAGCTTTCCGAAAAAATCTATGTCAGTGTTTCTGAGTAGACATGAGAGAGACCATCTTGCCCATATCTATTTCTGAACTTATCGAGGTATATAATGATGCGTTGAGGCCTGTTGTAGATATAATAGATATGCACAACAGGCTTATGAAGTCTGCTAGAGATTTTTCATTTAATGTATTTTGATACTAGTATAATGAGGCTAAAGAACCCATATGAGTTCGACATGTTACTTAAAAAAGGATTGCGCTGATAAACTTCTTTTTTCTAGAATTAAAATCAAACATTTACCTATCGTCATCATCATGAAATAAATTTCTTCGATTTTTTGAATCAATTAATATATCATATGGATCTGTTTTTATATCAAGTTCTGGTTCACCACTATCAGATAGTTTTAAATTATATAAAATAATTAATGTTCCACTAGAAGATTTTATTAAATTAAATTGTTTAAATAAATCATCAATTGTTTTAAATGGTGAATATTTTGTAATTAAATACATTTCAAGTTCATGTTTATTTTTATCGTATATATATGTATGTGTACCATTTAATTGTTGATTATCAGTATTTTCAATGGGTTGTTGACTAATTAAATCAAAACAAGGCATTGGACACATTATTTGAGATATGTGTTCTTCTTGATGGAATGTACGCGAAAGAAATAAACATGTACCAATATTATCTTTTTTTGTAAATAATATAAAATCATTAGATATACGCATAGCACCGGATTTTAAACCATTACCATATTGACCAATTTGAGTGGAATTCAGGGTATGACGTTTTGCTGATTTACCAAAAACAATTACATTGAATACATCGTCTAAGAAAATGAAAATTTTTTGACAATATTCTGTATAACATATATAGAGAATGTAATACATTAGAAAATTTTTTTTTGCTTTATGAAAATTTGAAAGTTTACGATTTCAGTCTTGCACTTTTCTTTATGATGTGAAACTAGGGACGGTTTGACAAATTACTGTTAATAATATTGAATGAAACTATCGATAATAAAAAAACAAGTATAATATCAGACGAAAAAGTTGAAGAAATGATCCTCTCAAGAACGCAATTGATAACATAATTAATCCAACCAAATGAAGCTGCTACTGTCAGGCAGACCTATTCGAGAGGTATCATTTGTATCACGTCATGTTAATTGTAGGTTTTCAACACTTTTATAAAATACCATACGATTGCAAACGATATATATGGATACAAATATAAGTGTAAGCCAGTACTTTTTAGGATGCCATAATATACCGTATTATTCGATATGTGATTTACTATTTTCTCGATATTATCATAGGAATTATTCATGAAGAACGCTCAGAAAAATCGCATTTTTTTTACTACCCTTTCCGCTCATTTTCAATCCGTATTTTCATCTTTATTACTTGATGTATATCAAGCATTAATATAAGATTTACAGATTATTTCGTTGCTTTTGAAAAATAAGGGTTTTTTGACATATAAAAAAGTTTAGAGCCATCCTTGTTTCTCAACGGGAGTACACCCAATTGAACTAAAACTTCTCCTAGTTTTACTCGAAAGTGTTTTCTTTTTTTTTGTTTCGAAATATAATGTATCGCCGGTCTTCGTCAGAATTTCCAGAAAAGCTTCAGTTCAAACAACCAGCTTTTTTAAGGGTACGCTCAGTATTTTGATCTTTTTTATTCGAATGGAAAAGCATAAAAACAAAGGTAGGCATTCGATATGGTGTCTAGTATCTATAAAATAAATCTCAACTCTATCTGACGTATTGTGTCAAGAGACTTACGGAGTCACGCTGTTTTATGTCGGGCTCCGAAATTCTTTTTTTCTCGTAAATTAGCGATAGAGTACGTGTTCTGCGATATTATCCAAAATAAGGTGGCATGAGAATACATCTGATGATGAAAGTGAAGATATTTAATGGTACTGATCGTCTTTTTCTAGCTCATGTTAGTGGACTATTGGATTGACAGTTTTCATTTACTGGACGTTACATTTGTCAAAGATAAATGTTACATAAGAAAAGAATGAAATAAGGTTTTAGGAATTTCTATAATTTACATAAACAGCGAGTCCGTCAGAGTCAGAGTCCGATACAGAGCTCTAATTGTAACGAAGAAAGCGAGGGAGACTTTTAACCGTTGCAACTCCGATACCTTCTAGCAGGAAGCATTTCGAAATTTAGGTTCTATGAACCGTTCTACAGCAATACGGGAAAGGGGATCTTAAAACGAATAAAAAACTCTTAATAAATATCCGATCACCAAGATACATCTGACTCGACTTTTCTCCTTTCCGGAAATGTTCGGTTTTTTTGCTGATTTTTCATTTTTTCCTTGACATCTTTTATGAACTTGGGTGATTTTTCTTTCGTATTGAAAATTAATGTGCAACGCTATAAAAGAATATGTTATTGATGTCTCATTTCGATCCAATATTTCAATCGATCAATTTTTTGAAATTTTCTCCATTCTATAGTTCGAAGTTTACATAAAATAACTTTAATAAATAAACATAATATTATAAAAATTATTCAAATCTCTTGAAAATAATACTTAGCTAAACTAAAGAAAATTTTCCTTTCGCAGAAAAAAGCCGTTTTAGAAAATATTTCATTGCTAAAGATAAATTCTTGTGTAAATACTATAGACTAATATTACAATTTGTATCCATCATAATTCGATTCAATCAATCTGATTGTAGACAATAATCAACATTTAAAAACGCTATTTTCTCATAGTTATATTTTTCATATCGTACTAAATTCTTAAATAGTTTTCTATGTTGAAAATCCTGTCTTCTATACTTTATAATATCCAAACATTTGATAGTATTCATTTGAAATTATTCTTTTTATCATCTCAATAGTCTTTAGCAAATTATAGCACATATATCATTTCAATAGAAATCGATTTTCACATTCTTCATAGATTTAATTTGAAAAAAAAAAACTTCAATTTCATAGTATTAATCATTGATTTCTATTTGATAAAACTTACCATAATTCATGCCACAACCATCATCCAAAAATGCCAAATAAAATCCTCCACGTAAACATGGATCTTTGCATGTATAAATATCAAGATTTTTTGCATCGGCATCTTTTGAATTATCAACTAGTTCAGCTAATGCACCAAAAAGAAATGTATGTGTAGTTGAATTTGTATGCAAATATTCAAAGCTCAATTGAGCTTTATTTAAACAATCGTATTGATCCTTCATCTCATTATTATCATTATCAAAAAAAAAAAAAGAAGAAAATACGTAAAATTGAAACGTAATGAAATAATTAATGACTATACAAAAAAAATAAATAAATGCTTAAAACATAAATACACGAAGCAAATATATAAAGCAGTAATGTCTATTTGATGCGAAAAAAAAGACGAAGAATGTTCAATTTTAATGAGAACGATCAAGGTCAAATGCATATGCCGCTTTTTTGTGCATGATTAATTGATTATCAACAAAATAAAAACTGTCTGATTTAGTTTCATTCGGATGTTCTATCATATCTTTAACTAAGAAAGAAAAAAACAACAACAAAAAGGAACTTGAAAATAAAAAACCATAAACAAAATGTAAAAATTACTTTGTTTGGAATCAAATTCAGGCATATCATAGATATGTTCAATGGAATTTCTTGTATTTGGTGGACAAAAACCAAAATCAAAATCAAATGATTTAACCAATTGATCATGAAAATAATGACGTTCAATCATTCGAAATGATTTTACTTCTCGATCACCGACAGTAAAATCAACTCTAAACAAAATCAAATAAACAAACTATCGAATAATAAATATTCACAAATGCATAGAAATTCGATACAAAGTTAAGCATTAAATCATAAATAGAAAAATACAATCACATTCTTTTCGTTTCTCAAATAGAACTTCGCATGCCAAGATTTTCATGTGCATAAGCGAATGAAAGATGTACTCATTATCTACGTTGAATTACTTCTATAATAATTTGAACATGTTGAATTCAATCATCTAACGAGAAAACATATTCAACTATCGGACATCGTTCAACTTCATATTATGCCAATGTGTTGGTTCTTCTGAGTAGAACCGATTGGATCCAACATTTTTCGGATCCAGATCCTACTCGACAGACTTCATTTATGAGACTAATACAAGATTAAAAGAATTTAAACGTATAGCCTACTGGATTGGCCATTTAAACGTAATTTGTATTTAGATTAAAGCGTTTTCGAGAAAATTTAAACAAAGAGTTCTGATCTGAAATTTCGTCTATGAACAAATTTGATAGCCCTCAATGTTTCAAGGAAAAATAAACACGTCTTTCTCGAAATATTCGATTTCCAAAAACAAACCAATGGTTTAACATAGGAGGATATAGTAATTGAGTCTACTTGGAAATTGAATATCTGGCACGAAATTTTTCGTCAATACTTTGATCTCGCTAAAAATGTCATTAATATAGCTAATCAGTAGACCATAGACTCGAATCCTTTTAAGCTTGTCATTGTCTCACCGAGGCTTGCTCGTAGCCATAGTATGAAGTGGAACGACGTCCGACAGTCAGATTAAGTTAACTCGTAAGTCAAAACTTGACGTTGTTGGATTCAGGATTTTCTATTGATAAATCTGAACAAAATCGATATATTCACGTATACAATGACTAATTTGTATATCAACATTGAATTAAAACTGCTGAACAATAAGTCTATATAAAATTACTCAAAAATTAGGATTATGACAATTTTACATATCTGACTCTCGAATAAATTTTTGCATAAGTTCAACTTTCTATGACTAATTATTTGTAGGTCAAAAAAAAAACAAATCTAAAGCTAGTATTACATATTGACTAAAACCTACGTTTGATTTACAAATAAAAACTAATTATACAAAAACTTTTCAGTCAAAAATTCTCAATCGATGTAATATGAAATAATCATACTTACAAAGCACCGACTTGTTTTAGTTTAAGAAATGATGATGGAAAATTATATTGAACAAAACGACCAGCCGATGGATCAACTTCATCATTTAAGTCATCATCATCTATTAATTTAAATGAAAACATAATAAAAAAAATAATAAACATAGTCTTATACCAGATCCTCGTTCAACTTCAAAAAGAACTTTATTTGTTTTCATATCACGAATTCGAAAGTGAACAAAATCAATTTTATATACATTATTATCTGTTTCAGTTAAATAACCTATTAATACATGAACAAAAACAAAATAAAGATATTTCTTTAAAAACTTTATTTTTTCTTTTATTCATATTTTACCATTAGTAGATTTTCTTAATCGAAGAACATCATTAATTGTTATTGGTGTTTCTTTCTTTTTTAATTCTTCTTCTGTAATCGGTGTTTCATTTGAACTACCACTCGTTGTTAGATTATTAGTGGATGATTTTTTTGAATTTGATTTTGATGAGATCAAAGTCGATGCCATATATCAAAGTTCTTTCTATACAAACAAAGAACAATCAATCAAATCTATGTGTATATATATTTTTTTTAACCAAGAAAAAGAGTTAAGTTTTTTTGTTTTTTTTTTTTTTGAAAAGAACTGTACAATATGGTCTGTGCAAAGGAAGTCAATACACCACAACAACAACAACAAGAAAAGAACATGACTTTTTTAACATTGACATAAAATCAAAAATCTATCAACTTGATTTTTTTTTCCTTCTCACCAATAATCTAAGAAAAGAGAAAAACAACGGAAATAAACAATGAAATAAGTTGTGCTTTTTTCAGAAAGATAAATAAAGAAACAAAAAAACTAACAGTTAATCGCAGCAACACATTTAATAATAAATATGTGTGCCTGCTTACCAATGAAATTACACAACAAAACGGATAAAAATAGAAAAGACAAGAGAAAAAAAGAAGAAGAAGAAGACTAATATCTATTTTTATTTTTTGTTCAATGGTCAACCAATGATTCCTTTGCTGCCGTTAAAATTCGCACCGGCCTAGAAGAAAAAAAGAAAATGGAACTCTATCAACAGAATTAAGACTATTCAGTATTAGAACTAGATTTGAAAGATTTATCAGAATTGTCAAAAACAAAAAAGAAAAAAAAACAGAAGTATTGCGTGTGCATGAATAAGTGGCACTATTAGATAAATTATAAATCTTATATTTATCATTTACTTTAATAATAAATAGAAAAAAAATATTTTTATAATTCTAATAAGAACATTCTTATTTAAGTAGAAAAAGTACTTTTCTAAGAAAGTTAACTTATTCGATATTGATAAAAATTTAAAGGTTAATAATTAAAGTATTTTTCTTTTACATTAGACACAATAGAGAATCTATTCTGCAAAATTAGAGGAAAGAACTGTGCATATTTGATGAGTAATTATAATTATTTTGTCTGAATACATTAAAACTTGACTCGAGTCAGAGTTGTGACTGGATTGGTTGAAAGAAATTGTGTTGATATGCCTTTTCTTTTCTGATAAAACGTGTCAAAAGTAGCTTTGAGTGCTCTTATGAAAATAATTAAAGAGTTTTATTTGTACAATTATTTTAACTTCCCTGGTAACTCTTTATTAGTATTATGTCAGCAATATTACAGTACTATCTTACATGTTGCAATTCAATGTGACTATACTACAGTTTTATGTTAAATTGTTTACATATTATACTCATTATTTACATGAAGTGCAATTACGTTGATATCTAACGAGGGAGGTTCTCTAGTTGATAAATTGTTTGATTATGTGCATTATGTAGACTTGAGTGAGCTATGAATATCTTCAAAAGAGTTCGTGATTTGAGCGGATTGTTGTCGAAATACCAGACTTTTAAAGTATTTTTTTAATGAATGCTGTATTTCCCCTCAGAAATACCGGGGAAACAAGGATTATAATTTTGATTGGAAATTTTGCATAGAGATATATCTTAATGGAAGCAGTTTTTTTAATGAATGTGTCAAGTCTTGTCGCTGTTCCTATTCTAAAATAGAACTATGGTAATAGCGTGTCTTTTATATCGCACATATACACTGGTAGATTTGATGTTCTTACTCTCGTTAAGATCTGTCTCTATGAAAAATTTCAAATCGAAATTCGAAAATCAACTTTTTCTGATGTTCCTGAGGGAAACCACGACATTCATTTAAAAAATAACGTAAAAGTTTCTTACCTCTGCAACAATTATCTAAGAGCACGAATTCTCTTCGTAATATTCATAGCTCATTAGAGCCTACACAATGCACATTGTCTAGTCTCGATTAGAAGTGTAAACCGATGCATCCATCGTTAGCGACTGAAATTTTTCGATGACTTTTAAACAGTTGTCTTGATAAATTTTGAAACAGAAAAGAGAAAAACGATGATAGAGAATTTATCGAGAAGAAATCTGCTGTTAATATCTCGAAAAACTAATTAGGGCCGCCGGAAATGTTCAAAACTCAAACATGTATTCTAGTGTCGCGGCGGTAACTGGAATTTTTAGCAACTGTTTCGGGCAACGACGGTGGCACGTCTGAATCAGTTAAGCCTTGCCGGCGGCGACGATTCAGCTGATCGGCTTACACGTCTAGTTTCGACTCAAAAGTGAAAACATACAAATGTTTGATATCGATCGTTAAATTTATTCATTCAATTTTCAAGAAAATGTATTGAAATCTTTTAGTTCAAATATTTACTTAGAAACGACTAATATGTTTAAAAGTTACAAATTTGAATACAACACTATTTGACTTACTTGGCGACAACATCTATTGATCCATTCGATGTAGTCAAATTAGTTTCAGGTACATGTTGTTCTTTTTCAACTACTTCCTCAATATGTTTATTTAACTCAGCCAATTTTGGATCACGTTCATCACGTGGTTTACCTATATTGATAAATTATACAATATTTTTTTTCAACATAACAAAAAAAGAGAAATAGTATTTTTATTTACCGGAACCAAAAATACTCGAATTTCGTGTTGATGGTTCTGTTGTTTGATTATCATCGGTTGATGACGAAAGTTTTTGTGAACGAGGTAATAGATGTAAGCGTGGTCGATTTTCTAGATTTTAATTATATTGATATATATATATATGCAACAAAAAAATGAGAAACAAGATTTTACCAGCTGGTACTGAATTATTATCAATATCATTTGAACTTTCACTAGTTTCTTTTTTAATACGTCCATTATTATCATTATAATTTCGACTACTATTTGACCTATTGGAATTTAATCGTTGTCGTGATCCTGATGATGGTTGATGTCGATTATTATTGTTATTATTATTATTATTATTCATACGATATGATGAACCCATATGAAGTTGAGGAGGTGTTTGTTGTTGATAATAAAATTGTTGAGGGTGATTTAAATATTGCGTTGGAAGTTGTTCACTATAATTACGTCCACCAACCATATGTGATGTTCCTCCACGATAATGGTTACCACTATTGCGATTACGAGTAGATTGATTACCCATAGAATGTGATGATGATGATGATTGTTGATTTGTACGAGACTTTACATTTTTATTACGAACAACCTAGAATAATATTTCTTTGTTTATTTTGTTGTGTTTTTATAATTTAAAATATCTTTTTATACTTGAAAATCATCACTAGTAAATGTATTATTAGCACTTGCTGGTGGTGATGATTCAAAAACAGTTTCATCAATAGGACAATCAGCCCAATTACGACTTTCTTGTCGAACTATTGTTGTACTTTGATCATTATTTGTCTGATCAATTGTATCTTCATTTGATGCTGGTGTATCAGGTGCAATAAAAACATCATCATTAGATACTTTTTGTTGTTGATTTTGACTATGATGACGTTGACGAGTTTTACCTGATGTTGATGAATAATAATTTCGTTCATTAAAAGATTCTAAATAAAAAATCCAAAAGGGAAAAAGATCTTTAAATTAATAGTTTTATTTTAATCGTTTACCATCTTTATTGTAACCATCAGTAACATTTTGAGAAATTTCTTGTTGATTATAATTATTATTACGACGTCCACCTTGACGAAATCTATCATTCGATCGATTATTGTTATTTCCCGGTGGATGACGACGACCATCGCGAGATTCAAATCCAGCTAGAAAAAAAATATAAATATATATATATTAAAAAGTTCTTTTTTTTTAGCAAAATGATTCTCAGTGCCGGAAGTCAAAGCTCTCGAAATGCAAGATAATGGTATGTAATTTTCTTATCTATCGTTAGTGAAAACTCGAAGGGATATTTTTATAAGCAGAACCTATTTTTAGAAAAAAATTGTAGATCGTTTTTCATTGAACCTATTGTGACGCTTTCGGTTAAGTTTATTGTTTGTCATTATCTACTCTCACTGCTTGGTTGAATTGATTGTTCATACATGATGTTTAACCTTCCCTTGTCATTTCTTTTTATCACACGCTTTGCCCTTCCCTTATTGTTTTTTCTTATCACACGCTTTGTCCTCCCACTTGTCATAGCTATGTAACATTTTTACCCTCTCTCTCTCTCTCCTTGACTCTCCCTCTTACTTCGTTTTCTGCTTCTTACCGATAGCATATATAAACGTGTGCTTTGTATGTAAACCGCACAATTATATGATATGAACGAACAGAATAAAATGTATTTCTATCTGCACTAACATTTCTTTTATCAGAAATCGTCATATCTATGAAAAATCGTGTTGTATTTCTGAAAGTTGACATACTAATCTATTGATTGCCTTCTACTGAATTAGATCTAATCGAAAGTTTATTTTCGTTCCGATAAAGAGTTTTGGACGGTTTTTCAGATTCAGAATACATGAAATGGATATAATTTTGATATCTTCAAGTAGTTTGGATGCTTATTGACAGAATTGTAAAGTTTTCATCGAAAGAATCGAAATCTTTTCGCCAACTTACTATGAAGTTTTGTATGGCTTTTGAATTGTTTTTGGCAATTAACATATTTATAAGACACACGAGGGAACATTTGGAGATGTTCACATCCTTTAGAGTTGGTATTTTGCCTGTAAGCAGACCTTGGCGAGCTATATAAAAAAGCCTTCAAAGGATTTGTGTTCATAAGCGTTCCTTGCAAAATTGTCAATTATTCGTATTGCTGAATAGTCCACACTCAGCTTCAAATAAGAATCATGAAGATAAATAGTTTATGTTCTATTAGAAATGGTATTGAGTAAAAAACGTTAGAAGATCTAGTATAATTTAGTTATCATTTAATTAACTCTCAAAGCGATTTACAGTTTTCTACCTTTTAATAATCATCAAAAAGCATTTGTCATTACTTCCACATGCATGGAAAATATTAGAACAATTCAAACTCAACAAGGAATGCTCATTGGTACAAATCCTTTGACGATTTTTTCATAGCTCACTAAGGCCTACTTATTATAGAGGAAATATCAGCTAAAAAAAAAGTGGATATCTGGAAATATTTTCTCATTAGTCTAGTTGACAATCTATCCTTTAATACGTTTCGAAAGGCCCATGACCTAACAATATGAAAATTCTAGATCTTCTGAAAACTGTCCAACACTCCGAGCAGTAGAAAACATAAACTTTAGGTTAGATCTAAGTCTGTAGACGATATTCAAGACTAAATTTCTACAAAAAAAAACAATCAATAGGTTAGTATGTCAGCTTTCAGGAATTCAACAAGGTTTTTAAAGATCCAATGGAAAGTTGATCTTCAGAATTTTTCAGAAAAGAAATTCTGCTAATGAAAAGATTTCTTAGAACTTTGGCGATCGATTGCTGAAAGCTGCATGCCATTATCTTGCATTACAAGTGATCTAATTTTTGGTGCCGATAGTAATTATATATTTACGTTTATTTCGAAATCCTTCGGATTTAGTTGCGCCTAATGGTCGAGCAGCAACATCAATTCGAATTGGACGATCATTAATACACTAAAATAAATATTATTTTATTTTTCAATTTCTAATTTTATTCACATACGGTTCCATCTAAATCAATAGCACGACGTAATGATTCTTCATCTTCAAAATCGACATAAGCAAAACCTTTTAATCAAATAAAAATAATAAATATCTTATGAATAAAAAAAAAAAACATTTACCTCGAAATCTATCTGTAAGTCGATCACGTACTAATCGAACTTGTTTAACTTTCAATCCAACAAATAAATGTTTTTCAAAATCACCTTGTACCATTGAATCAGGTGCATTACCAATATAAGCTGTAAATGGAGGTTCACTTGGTATTACATGATTCCGTGATGTACCACCATTGCGTCCATTAGCATATCTAAAAAGGAAATTTTTTCTTTAAATACATGTTTATTTTTCTACTGAACCCTTTACCCCCCCACTTGGATCACTTTAGACTCATTCATAGAAATTATTTCAAGTAATAAAGCATCGGATCTTGACGGTTCCCGAATGTTGTGTAAAGTCTTCAATAAACTATACATTCGTAAAAGATTAAACGTCTTTCTATCATTTCTTGACTAAGTTTTATTATTTGAAAAGCGGTGTTTCTTAAGAACCACTTGAAAGACCGATATTGGATCAAAGATATTCAAATCGTGTAAAATTTTCAGGACATGTCTGGATGACAAAATTTTTACTTTCTAAGAGGAGAGAAATTCAACATGATAAAAAATGGCACTTTAATTGTAAAAGTATTCTTTTAAATAATAGTAGTATAGCTCGACTCAAAAAACAGGTTTTGTCATGCTCTGCATCTTAAAATACTCTTTCAAACAAAAACAAAAAGAAAAACCATTGACTATAATGAAGCTCGTTCAAGAATTCTGGGATGCGCGATCAGAAAAAAACATAAACAGAGAAAAACTGAGAAAAATTTTTTTACACCTTATCTAAAAAAAAATATTTTTCAAGCAAAACATGACGGAAACTTTTGGAAGAAACAAATTATCGAATAAAAAACCATATCATTTACGAAAGATCATGATTATGCTAATGTATGCTCGGTTGATATATATTATTACTACGACGAGTATAATCTATTTGCAGAATAGCTTTTAAAACTTTCTTGATTATGGACGTGAAAGCATAATTTTTCATCACAACTTGGATCATTTTTGATTCGTACGTAGTGAGTAACATGAAAAATACTTTTTTGTAAATTTATTTTAATTTCAATATAAACTCATCAATAACACGATCTTCACGCTAAAAAACTTATTAGAACTAATAGCTAGTCAAAAAGCATTGTATCACCATTTTTAAATAACCTCTTATATAGAAACATGCAGTTTCTATTATGACTTTTCTTCTGGGTAAGTTCTTAACGATAGGGATTGATGATTTCGAATTGAAACCAAAATAAATGATTCCATATATTATAAAAGTAAAATCAAAATTAACGATTCTAACATCATCCTGAAAATGAAAGAGCTAATTTCAATTCGACAATAGTCTCCTGTGCAAGTATCTAACCGCATATCATCTGCTGAAATGACTCCCCCTTCAGAAAACAAAATACGAGATAAACTAGGTTTCCAGCATTATACAGATAAAATGACAACGTAACTACAGAAAAACGATTCTAATTAATAATAAATTCAATTCTCATGTCATTTTAGACGAATAGATCATTTATGGTCTAACCCACCATAGCTCAGTGGCGACGTTGTTCGATACGTATTCACAAGGCACTGTATTGACTAACATGCTGATTACGTTGTGGCATGCGCCTGCTCTCACTGTTAGTTAGTGCGAATGGAAAATGCAAAAATTCTGCGTCAGATTGACTCTCTGTTTAGATCTACAGCTAGTATTGGTTGTAGGGAAGATATGGAACTATTGAATCTGTCGCTAGACAGCACCTTATACCACTAAACAGAAATGTTCTTTCGTCCTTCCATTCATGATCCATTTTGAATGTTTGCAGTGAAATAAATCCGGTCTGTGTCTGAATCAACACCTGTACAAGCGTTTCTTGTGATTGACTAAACACAAGTTCTACCAGATTAGTATTAGGGGGTAAAAGGTTAAATAATCATTCATGATGAATTCTACATACCCATAATTATTATAATTACCATATTGATTACGTTTTGAATCTCTGCTAGGCATAGTCTATGTAAAGACCCAAACGAAAACTGTTCGGGTCAAAATTAAAAATAAAAACTAATGTGTCTAAAAAAACAAATAAACGAAAAGAAAAAAAAAGAAGATGAAGATGAAGTCATTTTAAAGTTCTTTTTTGTTTGTTTCATGTTCACGTTTAGAAAAAAAGAAAAAAGACGAAAACTTAAACAGTCCAACAGAAGAGAACGACGAAAAACTCTGGATTTACATAGAAAAAAAAAAGAAAATCGAATCAATGACAACGAGGTGTTTTATATGTTTATATGAGACAGAGTAATGCAAACTTAACGTAAAAAAAGAAGCGACGCAACAGTAATAAACGACAAGATTAACGCTTAGAAAAAGGCTGTGCCCATTATGAGAATAAAGATCAAATCACAGTTACCAGTTAGAGACAGACACACACACACACACACACACACATGCACACGTTAGTAATAGTAGCAGCAATAGTAAAACACAAAAAAGAAAATGTTCAATAAGTCGTTTATTTTATTGAAATGGACGTTGTTGACCTTGTTGATTATTATAAACATTACCACTAGGACGTTGTTGTTGTTGTTGTTTATTAACATTTTGTTGTTGACCACCAGATTGTGTTTGAACATGTTGAGGTTGAGTAGGTGCTGTATACATATATTGTCCTTCTTTATTTGATGATGATGAACCACGACTATAATAAGCCTCATTACCACCAATACCTGTTGATGAATTAGTTTGATTATATTGTTGTCCTTGTTGTTTCGGAGCTTGTTGATGTTGAGGCATAGCTGTAGCTGCTTGAGCATACATAATTTGAGGGCCTTCGAAAACGAAAGAAGACGAATATTAGAAATTGTATTATTAACAGAAGGATCATTATATATTATTTAAAGACTGATAATTAGCGAGAAACTACCGCTGGTGTTTTTGAAAATGTTATATCATAATATTGTATCAAAACGGATGAAAAGTTGTGGAGTGTGTTAAAACTGATAGAATTGAATCGTCAGTCGTATATTCTGATAATATTGATACGTCTGACCCGTTCGTACTAGCTACCACAGCCCAAATCGGTCCTAGTTATAAGATCAATTTTTATTATAGATGGCACTGCAAAATCTTTTATTAATAATTTATAGTCTGAAACTGTTTTCTTCTCGATTAATCTGATTTTTTTCTGATAGATAATTTTGAATATGGATAGACATGCAGCAGTCGTTTCTATCTATAACCGAAAGCCATAAGCGCTATCGTTGGTATACCACTGGTTCTTGTGGTTACTGCGGTAATGCTAACACATGTGCACTATGGGAAGCTACTCTTCAAAAATACTTTACAACGGAAAACTCTAGGATGAAGTTTCTATGATTCTATTCATGTTACACATTTGTTTGCGCTACCTGCCATGTGCCGCTCAGAGAATAATTATCGTTACTCCGCGGTAGAATGGCAGTCAGACAATAAGCGATCGTTCAAGTATTAAACTATCGCGAATTGATTGTCGATATACTGCATATTGTACCGAACAATCTACAGGCAATTTTTGTCGGCTTCGGATTACATGGGTGCCCGTGTTACACGTTTTTTTGCACCACCGCAGTATCTATATGTACCGACAGGGTATTGTCGGTCAGAGCTAGAGCCCGTTGGGTTCAACATTTTTGGATCTGGATCCGCTTTGTTGAACTTTTCTTGGACCTGTACCCGGAAAATAGAACATTTTTGAACCCGGACCCGATCTCGTCTGTGTCTGAGACCAAAGCAACGTGTTCTATTGAACACAAACAATTTATTTTCAGTACTAACAACCAAAAGCAACTAGCTCTTCAGAGAAAACTGAACATCAGTAAAACTTCGAAAAATATTCACATAGGCATTAAAAATTGCTTTAGATTCGGCCCGGATTAAAATTAAATTTTTAGACTCGGATCCGGATCTAACCCGATGGGCTCTAGTCAAAGCATAACCATCGGTACATTGCGGTTGAATGACAGTCAGAAAATAGTCGACCAATTAAACGTCAAACTAACGTCGATAATATACACAATATACTGAATGACCTACTAGTAGTTTTGTCATGTTGAAATTACATGGGTAGTCTATTAAAGAATAATTCGTAGATTTCAAGAAGATCATTCTTCTAATTTTAAATTGATTTAGAATAGCAATGGGAAATAGGAGAAAATGGTTTTGATGTATAAATATTAAACATACCAGTCGAATAACTTGGTCCAGTAGGTGGATGACTAAGATAATAACTTAATGGTGCTGGTGAATGTGTTGCTGTTTGTTGTTGACTGTTCGATTGTTGAAGAGAATATTGTTGAAATTGTTGTAATAACATGAGATTTTCCGTTATTGGTGGTGGATAACTATTAAAATAAAAGAATGAGCTCAAAGATTTATCTTATTATATTTATTATTTATACTTCATTGTTTTATTATCATTATTATTATTTGTCTGTTGTTGTTGATTTTGTGGTTGAACAGGTGGTGTTACGGATCCATATGTACCTGATGGTGATTGTGCTTGTTGTGTATTTGCTAATTGCATAAATGTATTTGTAAATAAATGTTCATTATCATATGGTGTTGAATAATTTGCTCCAGGTGTTTGTTGTTGAACACCATACGTTGTTGAATAAGCTGCTGGATTTAATGGTGGCCCTGTAGGAAACATACCTGGTGGAATAGCAGGTGCTTTTTTAGTTGTTGTTGTTGATGTTGTTGTTGACACCGATGGTGTTTGTGCATTTTTTGATGATGTTTGTTGTGGAAGCGGCGGTGGTTGAGAAACTAAATAACGTGGTTGAGCTTGTTGTTGTGGTTGATTCAATGTTGCTGCCATAAAATATGGTGAATTAAAATCCATTGATGGTAATGAATATGTTGTTGGATCATATGATGTATCTAATGTTACTGGCTAAAACATACAAAAAAAATGTATATATAGGATATATTTGATCTTTTTTATTTTTATTTACATCTGGTTGTTGTTGTGGATGATAAAGTAAAGATTGTAATAGAATATTTGGTGCATTAATTGGATGTTGTTGTTGATGTACAGTATATTGTTGTGCAACAACTGGTTTTATAGGCATAGTTGGTTGTTGCTGAATTTGTGTTGGTAATATCCGTTGTTGTTGTGGCTGTGGTTGATTCATTACCGATTGTTCAGATGGACGATGTGATGGTGAAATATGTGAAGACTGTTCAGTTGTTCGTTGAGAAATTTTGTTCGATGATATTGATTGTGGTTGTTGATAGAATGCTGTTGATGACGATGATTTTGCTGTTGGTGTTTCGTCAAATGCTTCACCAAGATTACCAAATTGTACATCTATTTTATTAATTCCACCATCAAAATGATCAGAAAAAACGACTGGTTGATGTGGAATTCGTAGTGGTGGTGTAACTTTTGTATTTAATGATTGGCCAGTTGTTTTTGATTTTTGTAATTGTTCCGTTACTAATGGTTTAGGTGTTTGACCAATACCAATAACATTTTTAATCTGACGTGCTGCTTCTATTGGATCAAACTCAGGTTTAGATTTTTCTTGATTAGTTGCTACTATTTAAATAAAAAATATAGATTTGTAGAAGAAAAAACAAGAAAAATACCTTCCGTTGATTCATTTGAATTTAATGGTTGTTCATCATCTTTAGTTGTTCGTGAATAAATAAGTGTTTCACCATTCCAATTACCAACATCCCATAAATCTTGTTGTTGTTGATTAGAAGCAACAGCAGCAGCAGCAGCAGCAGCACCACCACCACCTCTACTACGTCGATTTGTATCTGACGGTAATGAAGTATCAATACTTGAATCTTGTACATGTTGATAATTTCTATCAATACCACGATAACCACCTCGATTATTACCACGATAACGACCACGATATGTACTCGTACCTCGTTGTCTTTGTTGTGGAATATAATTATCATTTTGTTGATTAGTAACATTTTGGGAATCGCCTCCGTTTTGTTGCAACCTTGCTCGACCACCACGAGATTTACCTCGAGAAGTGAAACCGTCTAAACAAAAAAATAATTGAAAATAATAATGTTATTTTGTTTCGTCTTTGATTACCATTCCCTCGTTGTTGCGCATTCTCATCCAAATCTCCATGTCCATTTTTAGTAGCGGTAACTTTTTGTTGTTGTTGTTTTTTAGTTAATTTATGATTTGTTGCTGTACGCCACTCACTAGCTACGTCATGACCTTTTTCAATAAGTAATGCAACAGCTTTTTCACAGTCATAATCACAATCAAATAATGCAACAAGAGCATCTTCTTGATTGCAATCTGCTACAACATCAAGAACTTTTCGAATGATTTCTTGCACTTCAGGTTGATCATGTTTTTTATCTTCAATTAATTGAGCAAGACGAATTTGTTCTTGAGTTGGTCGATGCTGCTGCGTGCTTACGGCACCAGTGGCCGCTGCGACGCTCATTCTTCTATATTAAACAGAGGGCAAAAAGACACGAAGATGGAAATTTTATATCTAGAATCAAGAATAAAGAAAAAAATAGAACAATATCAAAATAAAAAAGGAAAATCTGACAATCACTATTATTTCCCTTTTTTTTCTAATTAAGATAGATATAACTCCACAGTTTATCATTTCATCGCCATTTATATTTTACCTAGGCTTCCACACTTATCATTTCACTAATGTAAATAAAATGATTTTGATTTCTAAAGGAATTTATTCATTTTAAAACTATTATTATACAAGAAAAACTCTTATTTAACTTCGAAAAAATTAATTAACTTTAATGCATAATTGCTTTCAATTGATATAGATGTCAGTAGAATCAATCTATTGAATCTGTGATGCATTTGATGAAACGTATCATTCATATTGAAGACAATATTTCATACTAATTAGTATAATTAACGTATCACACAACATTCGATATTGGTCTAGCTGGTATTTTACTCTGTTTCATTGTATGACATGGTGAAATTAAAATAGATGCTCCGTCTTCGGATGTCATATAATATAACAAGATGAAATACTTTTTGATAGTGGGAAACATCACATTTAATGTTACGACATATTTACTGTAGAAAATTTGCTAAATAAATATCCAACATAGTTTACGTTTGACAGGGTATCATCTCGTTTCATCAACAAAGATTTTTTTTCCCACTTTATCGATAACTTTTTCTTCCTTTGACTCTTCGTAGTTTAATAATTAAACATTTGATCGAAAAGTTAAGGCTCAATTAATTAAGCACATAATTAGTATTGATCTTTTTAGAAAATGATATGTTACCGTAGAAATGAAGTGTACGTTACGAGGAAACCAAGACTCACACTCATTCTTGTTCAATGTTATTATCGAAAAGAAAACAAGAATATTACTATTATGCATGTCTAGGTTAAATTTTAATGAACAAATGATACTTTTTCGTACTCTTTATTACTTGCATCTTAACTTGTTGACCAATCGTTTAATTATTAAAATACGATCTATCATAATAAAAAAAAATTTGTCAACGAAACAGAACGTAATCTGTGAGAGCTGTGTCAAAGTGAATAAGTACAGAAATGATTAATCCTCACTCACAACAAATTTAATCGTATCCAGAGAAGAAAATTTTTTTCTGCTAGAGAAGTGTTAGTACAATCTCTGTGGGATTAAAGTGTGAAAGACAAGGCAGCTACTGTTACCAATCACATGGAGATTGCTCTTGTAGTTCGAACCGAAAAAAACTATCGGTAATCTCCTGTCGGTATACCGTCAATACTTATGCATACCGCAGTATAACAGCAATATTGCGAACAAACCTGTAACATGAATGTTTTATTCTATTTATTTTTCGGTACGTATTTTCACCATTCTTTGACTTAATCTTCCAGAAATTCAATAAGAAGGTAGTTCGTATATATTAGAACCAGAAGTTATTCATATATACTCTGTAGCAGTATCTGTCATAAGAACGGGGGAAGGGAGTTCGAATTTTTATCTCTTTACTTTAAAATCTCTTCTAGATCGTATTTTACATAACTCATTCAGAATCTTTTGATTAAATTATAATGCATACTTATATCGTACTAAAGTTTTATTGATTGAACAAATATTGTATTATTCGTTTTTCAATGCTGTAATATTCTTTTGCTTTTATACCTTTCAAGTTCACGACTTCCGATTGAAGAATATAGTACAAAAAAAAAATATCGATTTATATAATTCTTCTTTTAAAAAAACTCAATTTCAGATAAATAAATGATTCAATTCATGAATTGTCTTTAGATAAAGTACAGACAGTGAATGAGATTTATTTTATGCTTGTAATGAAATAACTAATTCAATGCTATTGGTTTGTCTGATATATTTCTACTTAAATGAAATGAATAAAACAAGTAGGTCATATTTAATTTATTTTCTCTGGTGTTCATTTCTTTGAACAGTAGCAAGTGATTATAAATGATACAATCTCTCTTATTATCAAAATTTTTGAAGAAAAGCATGAATGTCACGCTAGTAATAATTTATTTAGTGAGTACAGCTGAATGTGTTACAAATAGTAAATCTAAGATATTGAAAGACTTCAAAGACACAGTGCGACTAGTAAGATTTAATATTCATTTTGTTTTCGAGTTAATAAAAATTTTTCTTTGAAAAAGATGACTTTTGAAAGTCAATAGGAACATGATGAATGAAAACAAAATTATTATTCATCAAATAATAGTAGTAACAGAAGTTCTCTTTTAAGAATTGCCAAACTCAAAAAGTACATTTGTCAAAAAGTAGCAATTTTATAAGGATTCCCATTGAAATAAATGTAATAAACCAGGTGAATAATTTCTTGAGAGAATAGTTATACCATAGAGACTGATGATAATGTAATGAGTATCCTATCGTATTTAGCTTTCCCTAAAAGAATCTAAAGGAATACCTTTAGAAAACTTTCTGAGAAATCACGACGAAGATTCGAAAAGAAAAGTTACGCCATTGTAAATAATCGTTTACGACGTTATTTATCTTTGTATTTCCATGTGCTCCTCATCAATGAAGCAGAAGTGACATTCTCTATATTTGTGAAATAATTTGTATAGTCGGAATCGTTATTCAAACCAATCTAAATAAAAAATGTATCCGAGTTCTCAATGAAGTAGATCGAGTCAAAGGTCGATTACTTATGAGCCAATTATCTCCGATTTAACCCATGGTGATCTCTGAAATGTATGATTAATTTTATTAAGTTGATGAGTATTTGTGAAGCTCGTGTCACGATTAATCTAAATGAAAAGAACTCAATTTAACTTTTTACATTAATATTCATTTGAATTTTCTGAATGTGAAATGTAGAAGTTATGCATTCACTCTTAAAATTCATAACGACATTTTTTCTTTGTTTATATTCTCTGAAAATAGGGAACTTCAGACTTTGTCAAGAAGCCAATTGGGAGTTGCAAGAGAATTCACATGTTTTAAAAACCTCCTTGTTGATTCACCAAAGATTTGGCATTTTTAGGGGACTCATAGTGACTCCTCTGCAAGTCTGAATCGACTAAAGCAATAGAATATACTCATAGACGAAGATTGGAGTAATCCATATGATACTCATTTTGATTTTTTCCACGAAATATTGAGTAAAACACTTATGCACTGGTATGTACGAAGATAGATTGAAGTTATGTACTAAAGAAAACTGATGAAAATGAGTGAAAAAAAAGATAGAAGCTATTTAAATGACTTATCGACTTTGTTCTCCATTCTTTTCTGAGGTATTTAAGTAAATTTGGCCGCATATTAGGCGATTGTTTGTTCGAACCTAGCGTTACGGCTACGTATTGATGATTTCCTAGTTGGTTATTTTAGGTTCAGAATTCGATTCCGTATTAAACGATATCATTTTTAATAGGGCTCATCCAGTAAAATAAGGATTTTGGCAGCAAAAATAGTGGCTTTCGACTCGATTTTGCCAGGAGTCGTTGCCTGGATTGGCCCTACAATTGGTATTGACTAAGCAAATAGTTGTATCAGGTGTAGAATTTTATTCTCTAACGAATGGTATCAACTTCAATTGAGTTCATTAAGCAAAAAATGATTCTAATGGAGGCATTCTAGATTTTGATTTGAAATTTATGCTTAGATTGCAATCTCAAGTCTCTGAAGTCATGTTGAAGTTTGTCGTAGTCAAATATACATTGATACATTTAAAGGAAAAGATGCCATTTCTCAAACTGTTTGCAGCGTAACAGTTCATTAATTCTAATTTTTACTTCTATGAACAATTTTATGATGCGCATCAAAGACGTCACATTTAATTTACTATATCAGACATTCATACTAGTAGAATTATTGGTATATAATTCATGAATATTAACGCTTTCTTTATAGAGTCACATAAATAACAAGCTTCCTGCAGCTAATATTTTAGTTTTCGTGAAGATTACAAAAAAAACTATGCAATACTACTTAAGGGTGCATCTAATATGTGAAAATGTGACGTCGATGGTCAAGTGAGTTTCATCCATCCTACTCCCTCATCTTTTCCATCAGATCTGTCTGCTCATATACATCACTCACTCTCACCTTTAAATAAGATACTTTTACATACTGATCAGGTTGATCGTTGTTAAAGCCCTAGTTTTTCGGTAGCTGTTGAAGGACAAGAAAATCAAGTTTTTTTTGACACAGTTCATCAATGGCATCATGAAATTCCAAAAAGTACTTTCGATCGTGCACAACTTATGCTCCTTCTGCTGTGGTTATGATGCACTGATATCATACAATAAAGCAAACTGTTTATACAGTAATCACTAAGAAAAATAGTCATTGTTCTGCTGGTTTATATCGTAACAAAAATTATTGCATGTGTTAAGAGTTATTTTAACTGAATATGTATTTCTCAGTGACTAGCAAAGGATGAAAAAGATAATATGTAACGTTCTAGACACAAAATCAAGAAAACAACAACCTGCATATTGTAATATATTTGTCATGTAGAAATCGACAAACATTGCTTACTTATATCAGGTAAAAGCGCAATTACATTATTTTATTAGGAACTCTGGGCATAGACGGTGAAAGCCGCTGAAATCCGTCGAGACGCAGAGTAATATAAGTTCTTTGGAAGAAAACGACTGATCGTCAACCTTCATTAGATAAAATTGTATTTTGCGTTGTAAGAACACGTAGTGATAGTGTTCCTGATGTGAAAGGATATTCAAATTTCCTTGTCGAAATGATGACGAGTGGTAAGCAACTTTTCTTATCCAAAACAGATTTCAAAATAACAAACTCAGTAGAAATCAACAATAGGTTCTGAGTAAAAATATACTATTCTTTTTCGCCTAAAAACTCTTTGCAACTCTCCATATTTTTGAATCTCTAAAGAGACAAGCTCAAGACTTGACTTCCGATTTTTCTTTACATTTCTAAAGACTTGAAGAAGCATTAATATAGAACGAGAAAGCTGCATGAAGCAATGTATTTTAATACGGAAAAATGAGCTCGAAACTTCAAGTTTACATAATTTTTGAGTTCGCCGTTGTTGATCATTTCTTTTGCGAGACTTACATATATAATTTCGAAAAATATACTGACGAGGGAACATTCCCAGGTGTTGAAGCGATTTTTAGTCGAGACTTTGCGCATCTTGTAGGCCTTGATGAATTATGTCTACCGTAAAAAAAGTTCGTGTCCCTAGCTTGTTCCTAGTGAGATATCGAGGTTTTAGTGAATTTTTCCTATAAGACCCCACAGTTGCAGCAAGGCCATATTTTTGAATTTTGATCTAAAACTTTGCCCACATAAACACCTCAGATAGACTAGTTTGCATAACAAATTTCAGAACTTTTGGACAAAGTCTCTCCGAGATATGAAGCTTTCAAAAAATGCATGCTTTATACGCTATATATGGAAAATGGCTTATACGTTGAAAGCTTCATATCTCGGAGAGACTTTGCCCAAAAGTTCTGAAATTTGTTATGCAAACTAGTCTATCTGAGATGTTTATGTGGGCAAAGTTTTAGATCAAAATTCAAAAATATGGCCTGGCTGCAAATGTGGGGTCTTATAGGAAAGATTCACTAAAACCTCGATATCTCACTAGGAACAAGCTAGGGGCACGAACTTT